TATATATATATATATATATATATATATATATATATATATATATATAACCGAAATCATAGCGACTATAGCATTATACTCTCTGTTCCAACAATTTATTAAATTCTCAATTGTTTCGATAAAATAAGTTATAGATTCTTAAAAAAAAATACAGATAAAAGGATCATTCATTAGACTCAAACTGTCCGTTTAATCGAACTTGAATTAATTTTCAACGAGATTTCCTTTGTCGATTCTACTCCAGAGATTTGCCACAGTCTGTTCATCATGCTTCGTGCAAACCACATCCGGTAGAATGAATTGAGCTTTCAAGTCCGATTTAATTTACTTGATCGATTCTGGGAAAGCATTAATCTATAGATTATAATTTGACATTGTTTCGGCGTTGTATAGGAAGCATAGGTTACGATGAGAGATCAATTAAATTATTATTGCGGATATTGAACGTATTATGTTCAAAATGTGCACAAATCATCATGAGAATTTCCTATTGGGATGAAAATAATTGATCGAACAGTGAAGTATTTTTCCGTTTTGAGCATGACAGTTAATCGTGTATCAACGATTCAAACGCTAATAACATCCCTTCCACGTAATCCCAGTTCGCTTTCAAGTCTAAAGTTATATTGTGCCATATAAAATGTTCAATCCAGATACACCTCGACATTTTGCATAGCTCGCGCTGCGCTTCATTACGAATCTTGATAACCCATGAATCTTTTCACGACGTTAACTTTATACGCAGTTGTTATAAGCAGAACGGGAAGTAATGTTGATCGACCTTTTTTTCAAATTCATATTTACTATTTACTAGAATTTGCAACTAATACACTTGTAATAATCTTGTTCAATGGTGCAACGTTCAATCGATTAATAATGTAGAAATAGTATCGTAACATCGTTTACAAATATCAATGAGGATTAGAAGGAAGAAGAAGCTGTCGGTCAATGCGATGCGTGTTAACAATTTACCTCTGATACTGTGATTCACGATCCGTGCAGAGAGTGACAGGTTGATCTTGGGAAAGCGTGCGAGAGGCACGTTCTGTAACTGATGATGAAACTCCCAAGTGACTGTCGTTGATGGCCACAAAACTAGTTCACAGAGTAGAAGAGGAAACGTTGCGGAGGCGAGATACGTTGTCGCGGCTCTAAGGAGCCGTTTTTACCAACGATGTATTAACTAGATCGTTCATCCTCGCATAGATCCTTTTCTGAATCGTATCGTTGTCCCGTAGCGACAGTTTTGCCTGTTGGCAAGAGAAACGAGTGGCGGGCGCGCAATACAATACCGGCGACACTTCACAGAAAACTAATCACGAGCCGTTCACTTTGGTGCGACTTACAGACAATTTCGTGACACGTTATCCGTCCTGATCTTGCGGAACTCCTACCTTACCTTAGAAAAAAAAAAAAAAATGCACGAAAACAAGGTCATAAAGCAAACGATCAATTGTAACCCGAGCGTAAACGGGCAAGGACTGACTGGCCTCGACAAAGGTAGCTGCCCTTATAGATATAAGACACGATGCTGGCGCGTGCGCCATCGATAGTCGCGCATGCACGATTCGCGGTCGTTTCACTGCGCTTCACGCTGCGGACCGACCTCTACGGGTTCCGACGGAAGAACATCCTTAAAGATCAAAGCAGATTGGCCGATCGGAGGGAAGAAGACAAGGATAGAAAATCGGTCGTTCGGTCAGAAAGCGACAGTGGTAAGGTGCATATACCGGTTCGTAGCCCGGGAACGCATTACGTTCTTAGTCGTTCGTTCTTTCATTATCACCAGCAAACGATGGAAAAGTGATTTATATCTTGTTCGTTTAATTTCGATCCCGCGACCCGCGACTCTCTTACCATCTCGTTTTATGCTTGGTCACGTTCATCCCTCTGTTTGTCGATGTTTATCTATCGGGAGAAATTTTTACATCGTCACGTGCCACGATAATATTTCACATTACGAAATATGGGAAGTCATATGAAAAACTGCCAACTTATATAAATTGAGAATTATAAGTCCCAATATAGATTCGTTTATACACAAAAAAATCGATAATACCCGTAACGTATGAACGAGAAATCACGTAAAAGGAATATTTTTACGACGCGAATGTGCCTAAATACGCTTGGCTGGTTTCACTGTTCGTCCAATCGAAGTGAAAATAATAGGACATCTTTTGATTTCTCCAGTTTCTCCTTACTCGGATATCGCTTATGTCGGAAAGCGCTTTGTCGTACTTTCATACCTCGTTCTTTCGATTCACGTATCATAGAGACCTGTTGCTGACGAATATTTACTACGCACTACGCTAAAGTCAAAGTTCTTCCCACTTGAAGTGTGCCAAATTTTAAGAAATTCTACCAAGTTGGGTGTCATTAAGTACAGGTGTGTCCACTCAGGATGCAAAATTAAAAATCGATAAAATTGTCGATGTTGCTCTTAATACCAAAGACTGCCAGTTTTGATCAATTAACTTTCGTAATGACTGCGGCAAATTAATTTGTAATTAATTTGTTGGAGAAGATGATTGAGGGATTAAAAAATGATGATCGAACGCTGCCGAAACGATACAGTGCGACGTGTTGCGATAGAAACAAAAAAAAAAGAAAAAAATAAACCTTCAGAATTTATTCGAGAGATGAATCATGAGGAGGCAAATATAGTCAAATTTTAGATAATAATATATCAGAAAAAATAAGAAAGGAAGCTTTGTCTTACGTGCAAAAAATTTTGTACATTGTAACGTCCCTGATCTGAATTTACATATGTTTATAGTTGAATGACTTGCTTACTTAAGCGCAAAATAAGCGGCAATATATTTGAAATGTTTCTGTCAGCCACGCATCACATTTACCTGTCTTCCTTTTCATAAACGTTTATTTGAAATTCCTTCAGGAGCTTGATGAAAAATCGATGAAAGTTAAAAGCAATTAACTAGTCTCAGCAAGTATCGTTTCAATGGCATCGATAATGTACAATATAAACATTTTCCACGAAATTTCGTTGATTAACTGTTCCTCTTTGCATTTTCATTCAAGCTTAGCGTGACTCTCTATAAAAAGTAAATAAATAAATAAATAAATTTGAAAAAAAGAATCATGAGAAACGTAAGATATAAATGGAACTAAAATATTTCTACAAGAATTATGTAAAATATTGGAAAAAATAAACTATTTGAAATGAATGACAACATATTTGAGAATGGAAGTTAATTTTCGTGAGCAACTT